CTTAGTTGTTAAATCTTTGCATTGATCTTTGACTTTTTCCTTACATAGAATTCTCAGAAATAAACCCTAGATCAAAGGGTATCTCTTTTTTTTTTTTTTTTTTTTTTTTGACAGAGTTCACTCTTGTTGCCAGGCTGGAGTGCAGTGCCATGATCGCGGCTTACTGCAACCTCCACCTCCTGAGTTCAAGTGATTCTGCTGCCTCAGACTCCCAGCCAAGTAGCTGGGATTACAGGCACATGCCACCATGCCTGGCTAATTGTTGTGGTTTTTTTTTTTTTAGTAGAGATGGAGTTTCACTATGTTGGTCAGGCTGGTCCCACATTTTTAAGTATCTTGATTCATATTGCCAAATTACCACTCAAAAATGTTAAAAGTGTTCATGTTTTGTATCTAGGGGTGAACCTTAGATAGAAGCCAGACTTAACAAAGATTGGCCCCAAACTCACTGGGATTTTTCATGTAACATAGTATAGTAGAAATAAACCAAAGTTGGAGTCAGTCTAACCATGTTTCAACCACATACTGCCATTTCTACAAATCACTAATTTTTAGCTTCATTTTCTTTATCTGCAAAATCAGTTGATATACTCTGTAGTGTTGTGAATATTAAATGTACTATAGCTATGTGAACATGTTTCAGACTGCCTGGCTCATAGATGATTAACAAATGTTAGATTCCATCTTTGTTTTCTCCCTAAAATCCCTTAGATAATAATTTCTATGTAGACGAGTTAGAAACATGAAAGGAGTATGTTATTATTTTCCATCTTATGTTTGTACAGGGACCTCTGAAGAGGAGATTTAGGTCTTAAGGAAAAGAAAAGAGCCATCAGACATTAATACAAATAAAACAAGAATTGTGTATGCATCAAGTCCTCATTAGGTGTCAGTCTTAGAAGTTCTAGTTGGAAATTGTATTTGTAATTAGAAGCTCAAGACCTCCTAATCAAGTTCTTATTGTGTTTAGCCATTGTTTTTTATTCATTATCTCACATAACAAGAGGCACAGAGGTTGGGCAGCTTGAGGCTCAGTACCATCAACAGCTCAATGATGTCATTAGGGAATGGGTACTTTCCATCTAGTTGTCATACTCATTGTGTAAGCTTGACTGTAAGACTGGCTCCTTTGGGCAACCAGAAGCCTAGAGCCATTCACATTGAGACACAGTGTTTACAGAGGCAGAAGATCTTCTGCTGTATCTCCTGATATCTCTCAGCTTCCTCTTAAAAGCTCTCTCCTCACTTCTCATGTACCAACACTAGGTTTAAATGGCCTCTTCTAAAACAACCAATGGCAAGTGGAGAAGGAAGGCTTGAGTGGGTTTAGAGTGACAACATTCATTCCTGCATATGGGAACTTCTGAGTCACATGGAGAAAAGATGAGCTGACAGATCCAATATTGGATATTTCAGCAAAAAGGCAGAGAAAAATGGGTGTTCAGCAGCTCGCCAAAGTACCTGATTCAGAAATATAACTGGAATATTTAAATTTGGCTTAACTAGTCTTTTTAAGTGTGTTCCCAAAGCTCTCATCATTATGAAAGGTAGCAAAACAGAAAACAGAAGTATTATCATTCTTAATCATAACTAACATCTGTATGAGTTTGAGTTTCAAAACATTGAGCATATATGTTATTTTAATTCTTACAGCTAAAGTATAAGATAATTGATATTGGCATCCTCCTTTAATAGATGAAGGAAGCAGTGAAACTGGCCCAGTTGTCCCATAGAACATGATGTTTATGCTTTCTTTTGAATGAACACAGAAATTGATCCTCCCAGTCTTCAAACTTGAGAAAGTTACATTTGTTTTATCCGAGTTCTCATCTGAGTTGCTTTATCAGGAAACCAACCATCAGGCCTCCCAGATATCATCAAGGAACTTAAGCTTACCAGATCACTGCATCTAGACAATAAGACACCAGACCCCTCACCCATCCTGATTGCCTAACTGACAACTTGCTTCCTGTTGACCAGCTCTTCTTCCTTACACCCCCTAATTCCTATTTTCCCACACATGGTTACATTTCTTCCCTGCTGTATAAACTCCTAATTTTAGTTTGTCAGGGAGATAGATTTGAGACTGATCTTCCATTTCCTCAACTGTGGCACCTAATTCAAGTCTTCTTCCTTAGCAATACTCATTGTCTCAGTGATTAGCTTTCTGTACCATGAACAGAAAAACCAAGACGGAACATTGGTTAGCACTGCAGTAACAGCAAGCCTCAGGAAGATGAAAGGATTTCCTATGAACTACACAGCTAATAAATAAACCACACCAGAATTCAAGCCCAGTTCTTATTGTCATAAATCTCCATTGTTTCTATGACCCCCAAGCTACATTTTGGAAAACAGAAGTCACTTAAAAGCTGTAAAATGGTCTGGCAGAGTGTAAAATTGTGAGGTAAAGATTTTGTGTGCTAGTGGGAGGATCGTTCTGGGAAGGGATGAGTCCCAGAAACTGTCTTTAAAAAGATCCTGTGTTCTGCTCTAACATGAAATTACAAGAATGCCTGAAAAAGAAGATGAGGAAGGAAGAATAGAGGACTCTAATTTAATTTTGGAGGTGGCTTCACACCAGGACTAGACAGGTTAAAGCACTTGAGAGCTATCCCCATCTTGGGAAATGGCAGCGAGGTGAAGGAAGATGGTGTGTAAGGCTCTCCATTGTCTCCTGAGAGTTTATCAGAAACCCCATCAGTCATTGCTCAGAGGGAGCAAGAGTGCATGCCGACCCCTAGTGGCACTCTTTGCAGAATACAGGTACACACAAGTTCCTTAAGTAAATAAAGGTGGTCCTGGACAACTTCGCCTTCCTAGTTTTCTTAAGAGAAATCTTTACTGAATCCTTCTATCTAGCTTATCTGTCTCGACATACTATTCCCCACCTCAATTTCCTGTAAATAATCATCTTCTGATATTTTCATTTGGAAAAGTGGATTTCTACATAAGTCTCTGATATCTTAAAATCGAACCCACCTACTCATTAAGCATCAAAAACAACTAAAATAACTTCTTTTTTATACTCTAAAGGATATATTTCAATAAGTGGCATGTTCCGACAAATACTCATTTATTGGCTACTGTGTGCCGGCAACAGTATTAGGATCTGGTGGGCACGACAGTGAATAACAGCAACAACCAAAACAAAAAAGGCATTTGTCTTTATGGAGATTACATTCTAATGGGAGCAGGGCTCAGTAAGAAAGAAATAACAAGGTAATTTTATATTGTGATAAATTCCATAGAGAGAATTAATGGGATGGTGCATGATAAAGAATAATCATGGAAGATCCTCAGATGTAACAGTGAGCTAGCTGAAATCTAGAACCTGCTTTGAGAACAGCCTGGGGAGAAGCATTTTAGGTAGAGGGAATACAAATAAAGAGTCTTTAAAGTGGTAGAAGGTTTGGCCAACTTCCTGAACATAAAGTAGGGTGGATTAGAAGAATTACAGAGAGAGAAGAAGAGATTAGCATGGTGAGAAGTGGGGGAGGTTGGAGGGTTGGCGTGGTGGGTGGTGGAGAGTTTGAATTTATTCTCAAGGCAATGAGGCAAAATGCATTTTACGTAAGGGAGTAACATAATCTGATTAGATAGAGACCAGGACCAGGATAGTGTGCTCAAAAAACAGGAATAGCCTCCTTCATAAAATATATTTCCAGTAATAGAGATCAAACTGATGTAAGAGTTCTCATTACTGATACTGTATTTATCATCAGATGATCGGGTGAGATCCAGGGTCTCAATAGATCCAATTGTAAAATAAAAGCAAAGTCTTGACTCAAGGAACTCCTCCCAATTCCGTTTTTTTTTTGTTTGTTTGTTTTTGGTTTTTTGTTTGTTTGTTTTTTGTTTTTGTTTTTGTTTTGAGACAGACTCTTACTCTGTCATCCAGGCTGGAGTGCAGTGGCGTGATCTTGGCCCACTGCAACCTCCGTCCCCTGGGTTCAAGTGGTGCTTTTGCCTCAGCTTCCCAAGTAGCTGGGATTGCAGGCGCCTGCCACCGCGCCCAGCTGATTTTTGTATTTTTAGTAGAAACGGGGTTTCACCATATAGACCAGGCTGGTTGTGAGCTTCAGACCTCATGATCCGCCTGCTTTGGCCTCCCAGAGTGCTGGGATTATAGGCATGAGCCACAGTGCCCAGCTCTGTTTTACTTCAAATGAATTATGAAAGAAAAACCCTTATCTTAACCTAGAATCTTATAACAACATCATTTTATCATTAGATGATGAATGATTAGATGTATGTGTGTTTTCCTGTTTGTCAGAGATCAAAGTGTGAAGGTGAAACCTACTAATGAGAAAAAATTGACCATGAAATCACAAGTATTATTGCCAGTGTTTTGAAAATATTTTCATTTGGGTTTGGGAGGGAAAAAAATAATTAGCAAGAATTTAGTATTCTAGGATATCAAGACTTGATGGAAGCACCAGGAGATGTTGTAGGTGGTATTGAGAGCAAGTGAGTAAAATAATAATGATAATAATTTAAATAATAATAACAATGACAATAACGTATTTAACAAAGATTGTGAGACTTGTTTAGAGAATTGGAAATGATGGCGGGATGCGGTGACTCATGCTTGTAATCCCAGCACTTTGGAAGGCCAAGGCGGGCGGATTCGAGGTCAGGAGATCAAGACCATCCTGGCTAACACAGTGAAACCCCATCTCTACTAAAAATACAAAAAAATTAGCCAGGCGTGGTGGTGGTAGCTTGTAATCCCAGCTACTCGAGAGGCTGAGGCAGGAGAATGGCGTGAATCCGGGAGGCAGAGCTTGCAGTGAGCCGAGATGGCACCACTGCACTCCAGCCTGGGCGACAGAGTGAGACTCTGTCTCAGAAAGAAAAAAAAAAAAAAAGAATTGGAAATGGTAAGGGAAATAGCAAATGTCCACTCTGACTCTAAAGCTCTATCTGTATATCCCCCTTAACCCCATGTTATTTATTTATTTATTTATTTATTTATTTATTTATTTATTTATTTTCAGATTCACATTATCTAACTTGCCGAATGCAGAACTGTACAGAGGCCAACAGGAATCAACCTTTTCCAGGCTACATTGACCCAGACTCTTTGATTGTTCAGGATCATTATGTGTTTGTTCAGGTATGAAAAATCCACTTCTGTTGATTGTCTCAGAAACCTTTATTTTCCTTGTTTCTGTCCCTATTGCAGTCCCTTTTGCCTGCTTTACACTCCATTAAGAGTCAAAAAGAGAGGAAGGGAGGGAGGGAAGGAGGTAGGGAGACAGGGGAAAATCACTATCTTTTCAACAAAAGGATAATTACTGAATGTGGAATCTTCTATAGTAACAGAATAGTAATGAGTTTCTTTGGGCTGTGTCTGGAGGATCTTATCCATGTGGGGTCATGAAGGCATCACAGAGAGGAGTGAGATTGTCTCTAGGATGATACACAGTACGATCTGTCCCCCACACCTGCATTCCAAAGAAGCTTCCAGTTATCAAAGGGACTGAACAAATATGTCAGTCTCTTTCTATCTGGGGAAGGGTCAGCCAATCAGCCCCCTCCCCAATACCCACTTTAAAAGTGGAGAAGCAGGAATGGGAAGGGAAGCTGTGGGGTGGCTGGAGATAGTGGGAGGCAGAGGCCAGGGGGTGAGTAATCAGCTTTTATTGTCATGCACCAACTGTGATTAGAATAAAGACACTTCAGAGCAGATATATTCAGCCAGGTTTTTCACCCCCAGGAGAGTAGAGAACGGTTTAAGAAGCTGAAGTTTCCTGAGTTGTTAGTAGAGACAAGAAGCAAATATGCTGCACTGCTTTTCAGCATTCAAGGAGAAATTTAAGCTTGTTTGGACAATGCATTTAAAAACTCAGTTACCGCCTTCCATGTTAAAAATGACAAAGGTACAATTACTAAATAGCTTATATGTATATATAAAATTATACATAAAGACCCATTCTAGACAGTATTACATTTATTTCGACAAGAAATTGGAATTTAGAATATTTAATTACATGCTTCGAGGAAGCCATTTGTTTAAGTGCCCATTGGCCTGTGTACTTTTAAAATGTTTCACATGTGATCTCACACAGACACACACACACACCCCATTTCTTTATTCTTCAGGAAAATTAGTAATTAATACTCAATTTCAGCATCAAGTTGTCAAGGGACATTCGAATAGTTACACGTATTGGTTCTGCCTATAATAATTCATTTCGGTTATCAGTGCTGCTCCCAGGAACCTTTTCTGGTTTCTAATAACAGTTTGTGATCCACATGTATGACTTACAAATGAGAATCAATTCTGCATTTGGAATTTCATACAGTCTTTACCCATGCCCCCATGAACATCCTGTAGCCCCTCACTAGACCTAAGAGGTGATCTGGCCACATGACAGTGAAGATGATAAGTTTCCAAGTCACATTCCTAATGTGATGAACGTGCACATTTGTCGACCTTCTGGGTATGCAAACTCCAGCTGTCATTGAAACTCCAGGCTTTTAAAGAGTTTAAGGGTGGCTGCAAAGGAGTGAGAGAGACTGGTGGTGGTGCCCTTGACACTGTGCCCGGCAGGTTGCTCATATGCTGGGCTGGAGACCACACCCCTTCCTGCCTTCTCTCACACCCACCAGGATTCATTGAGCTGCATGCTTTGGACAAAATTGGAGGGGAGCTGGCTGTGGTGGCACCTGCTTTTAGTCTCAGTTCCTGGGGAGGACTGCTTGAGCCCAGGAGTTGAAGGGTGCAGTGAGCTATGATTGTGCCACTGCACTCTAGCCCTGGGCAATACAGTAAGATTTAGCTTTAAAAAGATTTTAAAAAGGCTGGACGCAGTGGCTCATGCCTGTAATCCCAGCACTTTGGGAGGCGGAGGTGGGTCGATCACCTGAGGTCAGGAGTTCGAGACCAGCTTGGGCAACATGGTGAAACCCTCCATCTCTACTAAAAGAATACAAACATAGCCGGATGTGGTGGCAAGGGCTTGTAATCAATCCCAGATACTCAGGAGGCTGAGGCAGGAAAATCACTTGAACCTGGGAGGTGAAGGTTACAGTGAACTGAGATGGTGCCATTGCACTCCAGCCTGGGTAACAGCAGTGAAACTTAATCTCAAATAAATAAATAAATAAATAAAATTAAATAGAAGAGACCTACGTTGAATTTGGATGACAATCCTAGCCTGGTTTTGTGTCTGATACGCCAGCACTCCTGTCTGTGCCATGTGCCCATAATCATCAGTGTAACACCATCAAACTGGAATTCAGTGCCCAGAAATGTGAGCCTCCAGCTCTGCCACTGTTTGACTTGGGCCATTTCATTCTGATATGGCACAGGGACCTACCTACTTGTAGGGTCATAGACTTGGGTCTAGAGACCTGGGCTGATGATGGCAATCAGCCAGTGTACCCCAAGGTTAGTATCATTTGAAAAAAATAACTCAAAATGTTTTCTGGCATCTGAGCCACAGTGCAAATTTAAGAATTGTATTTTTGTCCAGTAGGCTCAGTTTGGGCCTCTGACCAGCTCACATACTGTTTATAAGTTGTGTTTGAACTGAATGCCAATTCTTTACACGTGTCTGCAGTAGACATTAATGCCATTTGTTGTGTTGGAAGCTACCTCCTTCCATTCAGGTCGCTGTTCTGTGACCTGTGTCTGTCATCATAGCTTGAGCTTCTTACAATCTTGTTTTTATGATCCAGCTGACATCAGGAGGGCGGCCACATTACTACGTGTCTTACCGAAGGAATGCATTTGCCCAAATGAAGCTTCCGAAATATGCTTTGCCCAAGGTATGGCCTAGATCACTTTCTTCATTTCACTCTTGACTCTCATTCACAGAAGCCAGCCTCCATCCCTTTCCCAAGGACTCTTTCAACCTCTCATAGTCATGTTTTATTTACATCTCTCATCTCTGTTTCCCAAGTTTGCTCTGCCTACTGTCTTTTTGATCATTCTTATTATCCTTCTCTTATTTCCTCCCTCCCTTCCTTTCTCTCTCTCTCTTTTCTTTTTCTTTTTTCTTTTCTCTTCTCTTTTCTTTCTCTTTCTTTCTTTGTTTCCTTTCTCATTCTTTCTTTTCTTTCATCTTTCTCCTTTTCTCTTTCTTTTTCTCTCTTTCATCTTACTTTCTCTTTTTCTCTTTCTTCTCTCTCTCTTTCTGGGATTGTTGCTATAGAAGCATTCATAAGAATTTTAATAATTGATTTGATTTTCAGTAGTAAAGATTTTCAAGCCGTATGTATTGGTTTTCTAACAAGACAGAAAATATTTTTTGGATGTGTTATGTATCAGTGCAACAGCTGCAATCCATTTCTGTCTGGTCTGATTATCAGTTGTTTACTGAGCAGCGATGCTGTGACGTGGCACCAGCCTTTGCTTTCTCTCTCAGCCAATCAGCTCTCTGTAAACTTATGTGACTGGTTGTCTTTAGAGTTCTGAGGCGCAGCTAATTTTTTAGACTTTCCCAAAGGCATACCCTTTGGAAAACAGAGACAAGCAAAAGTTAAAGACCCTCAACTGTTGACAGCCCCAGGCTGTCTTTCCAGAAGTGCTGAAGAACTGCGTTAATATGGAGCGCCACCTAGTGGAGGTCAAACTGACTTGGGAGCTCAGAGCTGTGTGTTTGCGATCTTGCTGCCATTGTGATGTATTTGAAGTGACTAGGAACTGTAAATGTATGGTGCCTTAATCTTAGAGCAAGGGAGATGTATGTGGCTATAAGAAAGGGACTCTGCAGGTTTAAATAGAGTTATAGCTCAACTTGGAAGACTTTGGGTTGCACAAAGAACATACATAACTTTTTTTTTTTTAATTGAGTTTCCATGCCTCTTTCTCTTATATTTTCATCCGTGACTTTGTAGTATGTTGACTTGAACCAACACCAGATAGCTGCCCAGGAAGTCATATAATAGGCATAACACAAGGGCACAACAGACCTCCTCTCCCGGGAGAGCTAGTGGTAACAGATTGTTCTGGCTTCTCCAGACTGAATTCTCTCTCTTGGCTACCACCCTTCCCTAACCCTAACATAGTGAAAGGTGGGCTGTAAGCCTCAGTCCATTAGAGGTAATAACACACATTGAGTTGCACTATTAACTGCAAAGAACTATAGCTATGCTTGTAGTTGTTATTTTCAGCCGCTGAGAGATTAATGACTGTGGTAATTATCTGGAACTGTATGTATGTCTGTGTCTGGATACATTTAAGTTCTTGTTTGATTTGGCGTAAGTGTTTTTCTTTTTTTTCCAATAAAACGCGAATTTACAACATTGAAGTTGTGCCTTAGATAAGAATTGGATAACATCACTATGTAAAAGGAAAACTGAGTGTTGTTCAAATTACCCCTGATAATCTCTTAGGAAGATTTGTCAGAGAAATGAACATGTTAACTCAATAAATACAACAGAGCCGGGTTTTTCTTTTTTCTTTTCCTCTTGAGCATTGAAATAAATTGTTGTTTCTTTGATTGACTAATAAACGAAGTAGTTGACTTGCAGGATTTGCACCTTAAAAAAAAGAATTATCCTCAATGCAATGACATGCTGCTGCTGTTCAAGAGGGGTGTGGAAATGGAGACCATATCCTCATCTTATGTGTACTCTTGGGAATAAACTGTTTTTTGTTTGTTTGTTTGTTTGTTTGTTTTGAGACGGAATCTCGCTGTGTCACCCAGGCTGGAGTGCAGTGGCATAATCTTGGCTCACTGCAACCTCTGCCTCCTGGGTTCAAGTGATTCTCCTGCCTCAGCCTCCCGAGTAGCTGGGACTACAGGCGCGTGCCACCAAGTCTGGCTAATTTTTGTATTTTTAGTAGAGACAGGGTTTCACCATATTGATCAGGCTGGTCTTGAACTCCTGACCTTGTGATCCACCTGCCTCAGCCTCCCAAAGTGCTGGGATTACAGGTGTGAGCCACCGCGCCCAGCCAGGTATAAACTCTTTAAGTGACATAAGTTTCGGTTGAAATCAAATGCTATTTGTAGCATAACTGAGGCTAAAACTCAAGTCTCCTGACTCTCAAGATAGTATATTTTTTATATTATACTTTCTTACCTTGAAGGTAAATTAATAGCTTCTGTTATTAAAGCATAGGATCATCACCTCCTCAAAATTCCATCTACTGTCAGGGGCATTAAGAAGAAAATCCCATTGACTTAATGAGCCCCAGAAATCATACTTTAAAATCAAAGAAACGTTTGTAGAGTCATTGCTGGAGGTTGGGGAAACAGATACTTTGCATTGCATGTTCATAGCCATCTCACAGATCATTGCTGACAGTTGTCCCCAGTGGCATCTAGCCAATATGGAAGGAAAACATTTTACTTTGAACCCGAATTTACATCTATCTTCTTCCTCCTGTTCTCCCAGAAGATCATGTTCCATTACTCAGTCTCATCTGGGTTCTGAGGGTAGAATGCAGTGATTAATTTAGCTTGTTACCAGAAAAAATAGGGGCTAGTACAGCAAACGAATGTATTATTTGATCCAGGTGGGTGTTTATTATTTAAGGCAATGAGATTCTTTATTATAATCCCATTATACCTTTGAAAAGAAACCCCAGCTTGGGTGGAGTGGTCTGCGACAAAGGTGCATGTATTTCATGGCCTTCTGTCAGAGTCAGGGCTGGTGCAACTGGAAATGAACAAAGCTTCATGCCGACCAAAGGAATCGAGACAAACCAGCACTTTTATGCTCAATTTTCTTTAATCACCCACTACCGTTGTATCAGCTCCTGAAAGATCATAGTCACCCTGAGCTGTGCTCAAAAAAATGTTTAATAATATAATAGTAAAGAATGATAGGGGGTAGGGAGATTTTAATATTGCCGTTGCCGTTAAGAGCACGTGGCCCACCAGACAGGCAAACGTAGTGACACTCTTCCTTAACTTGCTCGGAACCCATTCTGAGCTACTCAAGTGAGATAAATGAGGCAATACATGTGAAAGTGCTTTGAGCATTTTGGAGGACAGATACTCTATAAAAGCAAGGTAATATTATTATTAGTATGGATCTAGTTGTCTCCATGGTGGAAGATCGATGTGGACCAGGATGCAGGTGATGTGAAGGCTGCTTGATTTGCAGCAGGAGACCTGGATTAGGGACCCAGATCTGTCACTAACTTGCTTTGAAACCTTGGGCTGGTTTGTCAATGCCTCTTTTCTTCATTTTTTTTTTTTAAATAAGGAGCTTAGATTCACAACAATATTTTCTCATGTGTGTTACTTAGAATAAAATGTCCTTAGTAATCCTTCCTGAGAATTTGGCGGTGTGGTCAAATATGTCTGAAAAAAGAAAGAAACTCCATTCTGTGTTTCTTGCCTAGAGAGTAACAGTAGCTCGCTGGTATGTTGAAGGTTTAGAATGTCCAATGAGCAAGAAAGCTCTTTAATTCACCGTTAATTAAAATGTTTTACCGATTTAAAGTGGTAAAACATTTTTCATGTTTTCTAAACTTGAAACTTGAGAATTTTCAAGTCTTCGAAAATCCTAACAACATTGTTGTCCTACGGAACAGACTTTAGAAATGCTTCAATACAAAATCTGTAAGATCACAGTTGCTCTCAAATTCTGTGATTTGGTTAAATATTCAACATAAAGTGCCACATTGGGAGAAAAAGCACATTTTTCCCAATAGAAACAGGGTTTAGGGAAGGAGAAAAAAGATGGTATATAAATATTTTAAACTTTTCAATTAAAATGTTTAAGACCAATATCATTTGAAAATGGCTGTTCGACATAATTATATGAAACAAAGGAAGGATTGGAACTCAGCCCATATCTAGAGATGGTCATTTTAATCTGTTATCATTGTGTGATTAGTTCTCTAAGTGACCTAGACCACAATATTTGATGCATCTGTGTTTTCCTTTCCAAATCTACAAAATAAAGGCTTGGGAGAAGTGACCGGTACAGGTGATGCACTTTACTCTTCCAGCATAGGATTATTTAATCAAATATCTATTGTGAGAAACTCAGAGGTTCACCAGTGCAGAAATTCACTGTAAATCACAGAAGTGGGAATTAGCTATGTGGTCAGGTTATTGTTGAAATATTTTAACTTGGCTTCAGGGATTATGCTGCATCTTACTGACAAGGAAGGGAAGATGAATTGGGAATAGTTGTTTGATGCTTCTCAATGTCAAGGTAAAGATTTAGGTCTTTGCCCTATAAGATGGAGAGCCATGGAAGGTTTGGTCATCAATGCAGGAACAGCTCTGGAGCTAATTTCCACAGACAAGTCTCTCCGTTAGAAAGAAACCAAACACTTGGGTGTAGCTTCTCCCTGTTCAAAGAATTTTAAATTTTATTTTAAACAACAACAAAGACACTTGGGTGAACCACTTCCTCTTGTATATGTAGTTAGGACTTGAGTATTTGCAGTAAACAGAAAGGCCAAATGAACCTGGATTAATCAATGAAAGGGATGTAAGGGCTCACTTAACTGAGAGTAGCTAACATACCTAGAGCATATGCTAAGTGCCAGACACTATTAGAAGTGCTTAACACTTATTAATGGATTTCATCCTCACCACTCCATGGGGAACCTACTATCCTTGTCTCTATTTTGCAGGTTGAAATTATAAGACACGGAGTGTCCAAGTTCACGTGGCTAAGTTATACAGCCAAGATCTGAACTCAGGTAGTTTTACTCGAAAGTCCATTCTTCAGTCACTTTGCTAGACTGTCTTCTTTAACTGAAAAGTCTGGCAGTGGGATCAGCTGCTTAAATGTCCACATTTAGGGATCAAAAAATGTCACAGGATTGGGCCATCTCTCTCCATCCTCTGACCCTGTTTTCGTAAGGATTGGTTTCATCCTTTACCTCCAAGATATGTCTCTAGCAGATGTGGAATTTTCTCTTTTATTCTTACTGCTTACAAACCAATAGTGAGATACTAATTTTGTCTCTCCCTAATGACTCCACAGTCATTCTAGAAACATGTCATATTGACTTTATGTGGGTCACCTGCCCATCACCTATTCAGTTGCTGTTGCCAGAGAAATGGAATATTCTGCATGCCAGTTCTAAAAGCTCATTTGTTGTGCTGCTGGTAGAAGAAAGCAGAAAAAAGTTTAGATGAAATATAGAAATATACCTGAGAGGAATGTGGCTGATTTTCAAAAAACATCAATCCGTGCAGTTGGACCTGCGTCTCCTCAGGTTCTGCATCAGATTGAAAATATTAAAAAATATATAATAAAAAGTAATACGAATTAAATAAATGATACAACTGTTTACATAGCCTTTACATCGTATTAGGTATTGTAAGTAATCCAGGGATGATTTAAAGTGTACAGGAGGATGTGCATAGATTACATGCAAATCTTATACCACTTTATATAAGAAATGTCAACTTCTGTGGATTTTGGTATCTGAGGACAGTCATGGAACCAATCCCCCTGCAGATACCTAGAGAGAGCTGTAATTACCAGGAGAAATGTAAACAGACATTCAGTGGATAAAAGCACACATTAAATTAATGGGCAGGATTCATTTTTTGGCCTCTCCACTTGCGGTTCTTTCTACAAAAATGTTACCAAACTCGAGTATGTCATATTGAGCCTGAGTAGAGGTGAGGAATATAAAGCTCTTTGGATATGGACTTCTCCCTCTGGGATCGAGTTTACTGTGATAAAGGGTAAAGAGGAGAGGGAATCTTGTGCCTAAACGTCTAGAGCAGAGTCAGAGCTGAAATGCTGCTTAATTGAGAACATGGGCATATATGACAATGAGAAATTTAGGTTAGTAGTTAGGTAGAATTTCCCCACACTGGAATTGTTAACAGGAAGATTGCCAGATCTCCTAAAGCTTTTCAAAAATAGAGTATGGTGCATCTGGAAAGATTAGAGTACTAAGCAATGCCAAAAACAAGAATTGTTCTACGTTGTTCTTCTACCTTTGTGGTTATATGCAATCTTTGTTTTCGTTTGTTTTGTTTTGGTTACTTAGCTTTAATTTTTGGTTTTTGGAAGTTGTTTTATGTCTACTGTCTTGGGCAAAGGGTAAAATGCAGCCAAGAACATATTAACAGACATCCCCTAAAGAAGAAAGCAGGCTTTGGTCTGAGTCAGCAAGCTTCGGACTGTGATAGCTTCCATTGTTCTTCTCTAGAGTTAGGAAAGGGGGAAAAAGAATTTGAAATTCCCACCCCGGGGGCATTTGCTCACTGCCTCCATGCTACCTTTGCTTTAATTCTGTCTTCCAGGACCACCAGGGTCTGAAAACATCGTCAGTTATGCAGACTATCTTTTGCCCTTTTTCACTGGAGGATTCCTGCAGAACCTCTCAGTTTAGGTTTTGATAAGCAGCTAAGTCTTTGAACATATTAACATGAGGATTAGTACTTTGGGTTTCTCTGGTGAATATTTTCTTAGGGCTGAGGGTAGAGGAGACTGGCTGGGGGTTGCTGAACCTTAGGGCAGTGCTTTTCAAACTTTAATATGCATGGTAATTATTTAGCAATCTTATTAAAATGCAGATTTCGATTCACCAGGTGAGGCCCAAGGTTCTATGTGTTTAACAAGCTTACAGGTGATGTCCTTGCTTCTGGTCCATGAGCCACGCTGAGAGATGCAGGGTTTGTGTATTTTCTCTCTGTCCCTCCAGCTTTTCCTCATGTCTGCCCCATATATGCCTTCTGAGCAAGTATCATATTTGTGCTTGGCAAAAATATCAGGATGCTTGATTCTCCAAATCATACATATTTAAGAAAGCATTTTTCAAATTATGTAATGAGGCATTTAAAACTGATCTATCAAACATCCCTCCATCCTATTTTTTAATGACTTTATTGCCTAACCCCACAAGTGACAAAGGAAATATATGATTAATGCTTAACTAATTATTATTTCTTATATATGCAAAAGGAAGCTACCTTCTATTAAAGTACTCATTCTGGTATTCCTCATTTGATGCCACACTCTTTGGATGCCTGCCAGGTTAACGTGTAAAACTCTTCTTCCCTCTTCACGACCTTGTGTCTTTTCACAGGACATGCATGTTATCAGCACCGATGAGAATCAGGTGTTCGCAGCGGTCCAAGAATGGAACCAGAATGACACGTACAACCTCTACATCTCAGACACACGTGGTGTCTACTTCACCCTGGCCTTGGAGAATGTCCAGAGCAGCAGAGGCCCTGAGGGCAACATCATGATCGACCTCTATGAGGTATGTCACGAGGCATATGTGGTCCTAAGCCACAGCAATGCCCAGCTGGCTGATGGAAGCCCCGCATGGACTCTTTTCCTGGTCATTTTAATACAGTTCCTTATGTGGCCTCATTTCTCTTGGGAAATGGAGAGATTTGCAGAACATTTTTATTAGTTAATTTGCAATCCACAGAACATCTCTGGGAGGGATTCTGGGAGAGATTCTTTTTTGACAAACTCCACAGGACATGAAGGCTTAGCGGGCTTGCAGAATGTCTGGGGAGGCAGCCAATTACAGGGTTTGACGAGAGTGGCCTGCATGCAATGTTTGGGCATAGTTTTGAAAGGCAGACAGGGCCGTGAGTAAAGGGATGGTGGATGGCACTCCCTTGTCTCTCAGAAGAAAGAATGAAGGGGATCAGGTCTCCTGCATCCAGTTAGAAGACGCTTCATTTGGACTTGAAGACCTTTCTGGTTAAATAAGCTCTCTCGGCTAATGGCCTTTTTCTCACAGGGCCACAGAGTGAGATAAGATTAGCAGGTGTCTGTCTCCTAAATCCAGAAAAATAAAATAAACAGCTACTACAACAAGAACAGAGCTTAGCAGACTCTTTCTTTCTCAAGATGGCTAAGATTCAAAAGAAAATCATGTATGTTGGATTGGTTAGCTTTCATGATACATACCAATGCTTTAATTGTCATTGAAGGCACAGTTAGCTAGAAAGAAAACTGCTGCCTTGGGATGGATTTTATCCATTCGTCAATCTTATCATGCACTACGAAAGATTTATAATAGGTTATAATAAGCCATTTGAAAACATTCAGAATTTGGGAAATGCAACAATATACCTATATTCTATCTGAAAAAAAATCTAAAATGGATTCAGATATGTACAGTCATAATGACACTATCATTTAGTCAAGAATAAGCGCAGTGAGTCAAGAGGTTGTTTGTCTAAGAAGTAAAGATATATCTAGTATGAAAGAAACTAACTTCACTTAAGAAATTTTAACCTGTCATTGTAATCCCTTTCAATGTGTTCTATCTTCCTCCTCCTTCAGAGGTTCTTAGTGATTTTTTTCTAGTATCTAAACTTTTAGGTATGTATAAAAGCATATTAGTAAACTGTATGCCAAAGTTAGAGCCCAGGTATTTGTAATAGAAATTATGGCAGACTAGCATAGGGTCTAGTTTATATGTATATGTTTAGAAAATTCTACTACAAACTTTTTCATTCTTTCACAAGTTTTTCCACTTCTTCTTCTGCCCATGTTTCAGATAAATACAGTATCATGTATGACAACCTCAAACTGTATTCTAGAAGAAATTTACATATTGTGATGATTTAGTTTCAACTTCATGTTGAATAAAATTTAATTTAGAGTACAGATTTTGGATTTAGGTTGCCTAAGCTTAAATCCTAGCAATGCCACTTGTATGTATTCTTGAGACAAATCCAGTAACTTCTGAGCCACAGTTTCCTTGCTTAAAATATGGAGATAAATATGATACCTACTAGATGTGATTTTTCTAAGGATTAAATGAATTAATCCTTTCAAAGCACGGAGCACAGTGCTTAAAATACAATAATGCTCAACAAATTATAGATAGCATCATTAATATTATGTTCCAGTGTGTTCAAGCACCACTGCAGTGTTCTACTCTCATAGCCTTAACATCTACCCACGTTATTTAAATGCCCAAAACATTTTTATTATTTCGGATTCCTACATCTTCACATATTGCAATTAGTGCAGCCATATGACATTCTTCATATCAAGTAGTTGTCTTTCTTTTTTTTTTCTTTTGATATGGAGTCTCGCTCTGTCACCCAGGCTGGAGTACAGTGACACGATCTAGGCTCACTGCAACCTCTGCCTCCTGGGTTCAAGCTATTCTCCTGCCTCAGCCTCCTGAGTAGCTGAGACTCCCACCACCACGCCCAGCTAATTTTTGTATTTTTAGTAGAGACAGGGTTTCACCATATTGGCCAGGCTGGTCTCAAACTCCTGACCTTGTGATCCGCCTGCCTTGGCCTCCCAAAGTGCTGGGATTACAGTAGTTGTCTTCTTATAAACAAGTGTAAATTACCACATTTCTTTTTCATTGATAAATAGACTATAAACAATAGACTATAAACATTTTAACTTGAAGTGTGTTTTGTTGAAATGTCACGCATTTTCTTGCCTTGACTCAACACTGAGCATGCTCTGAGCATTCACTGGCATGAAGTCAAAGCACCTGCCCAAGCTTAATCACCCAGTTTTCTTTCCTGGCCCTCATTCTATCCTTGATCTCCCAAAAACATGTTCTGACTTTCAGGTTTCATCTTCCCCTTCCTGATTATCCTCTTCCCTCTTTCTGAGTCAATATGGAATTGATTCTCTGGATAAATTTTGTTTCCTGCCAGAAATAAAAACCATTTTAATTGGTCCCTTGATGACGAAAAAATGACAAGTTTAGACAGGAATGACTTTGCAATGTCTTGTTATTTGCAACTCTTTTCATGACTAGTTTTCTGAATTCAAACATCAGTAACAGGTATGGAATGAAAAGAGGAAACAAGGCGACCTCTGGACATGCCAAACATTGCTTTGTTAATCTTGTGCTTCCCCTTTGTGCCTGTTTTGCAGTTGACTATCTGTAGGGAAACTGCTGGCTCTTATTATCATCATTTTGAGCAGTGGTATGACTGTATTGTGTAAAGGTGCTCTGCATCCTGGGGCTGGGAGAGAGGAGTCTTTGTTTTATTAGCCTGACAGTTCACGGCAACTTGAATTGAAATTGATGTGATCAGAACGGCAGTGCCGTATCTGCTGATTACCTAGATAGAAAGAATATTGGCTGACACGGAGCCTGGCACAAATGTTCCCTTAAATCTGATTGTTCTGGCTAGCAGGAAGCTGAAAGCCATCCAGCATGAATTTCCCAATAGAATTGTAATGAATGATGAGAGCTTAGAGATAAATGAGAAGTAAGAAAATCCATAAATGAATTACTAAGGAGCAAAGATGAGCAACACACGAGGTGGGGGTTACAGAGACAGCATACATGGAGTGCATGTCTGCTCACATTTGGGGTAACTGAGGATGGCCTTTGTTCTTTGTTTGCTTTTGCATGCCAATATGTGCTATTCCTGCATTTGTGAGCTCTTCAGGCTATTTTAGCAGAAGTGAACTGTATAATGTATAAACATGTAGATGGGTCTGTGCGTCACGGATGTGCACTGCTGATGGGTCTTTGTAAAAAATGCAGAAGGAAGCACTGTGCTCATTAAAATTAAGCATTTTGTTTGCACATACGTTGGAACCTGGATACAGATTCTGTGTTCTCTACCCTAGAACTATGTGTGTATATGGAATGAGAGAGAGAAATGCTAGAGACAAAGTGTTGGGGGTACAGCCTTATATGGTTTAGTTATTGAAATGCCAGAATTTTCCATCAGTGTGAATTGGACTCCATTCAAGAAAGCCAAGAAATAAGAGACAAGAAAGTTGGCCTCAGAGCAAAAATACTAGAAATGGATTTTGTTGATATTAATAATGTCTAATATTTTGGGCCACTTTGTGCCAGGCATGGTGTAAAAAACCTTCGATAACGATCTCAATGCATACATTAACTTTATGATGTAGGAACTGTTGGCACTTTCACTTCAAATATAAGTAAATGCAGGTAGAGAGAATACAGCAACTTTTGCAAGCCCCCAAAGATGGTAAGTGGCAGAGTTAGGACCTAAACCCTAGAGTATGCAAACTCTCAACTATAGACTGTCATGTTTTCCCTGAAGGATCCGCATCTAGGCTCGTATTTGGTTGTGAAGGAGTGATAGCATTAAGACTGAAGAACATAGAAGGGCAGGGTAAATAGAGTTAGACTTTGCATACCAGTTGAACACAGAAGACTGGAAGAAGAAAATGATGGAAGTCAATGTAAAGAGAATCAGAAGTTTGAATGCCTGAGACCTATCTATGCAGCGCCTTTAGTACCAAGTGCTGAGTTACAGCTAAGTTCAGGCCGTATTGACACATGGCTCGCAGTCTTGTCGGGTGGATGTATTTGTGTAAGCAAAGCCTGGAAACAAGTGTCCTAAAACTCCATCACACCTGAATAGAATGAATGTTCCAGTGGCATCGTGTGGGTTGGGGAACGGAAGGCTGCATGTCTGATGGTGGCCAGAGCAAAAGAAATGTGCTGAGTGTATCTGAGAAGAGTGATGCCTGATGTATTTGTGTAGTGTGGATGATGAGAGGGAGTCTGACAGGTTTGGATGACACCTTCTCTCCTTTGGGAAGGGAATATTAATTAATGATGATGAAGAGCACTTTGGCTTAATAGACAATGACAGTTCACCCCAGCTGAGTGCAAAGGGTTGTGTTGGGAGTGAAGCCACTTGGCTGACAAATTCAGAATACGCAAGAATGTGTGCATACATGAGTGAGCCCTGGTGGGTGTCATGAAGGACAGCCAGTGATCAGGGCATGTTCTGTTACACACAGTGTCTTCTGTACATCATGAGTATCCTCTCTTTAAAAGAGAAAACTCAACGGTTATGATAATATAGCATACACCTTGATTTCTTGGAGAAAGACTGCCTCTTACAATCTAGGTTAGGACGTAGGGAAGAAAAATACTCTCCTATTGAAGATCTATTTATTACAGGATGTTGAATGTACTATTGGCCAGGTACAGTGGCTCACGCCTGTAATCCCAGCACTTTAGGAGGCGGAGGCAGAAGGATCACCGGAGGCTAAGAGTTTGAGACCAGCCTGGTCAACATGGCGAAACCCTGTCTCTACTAAAAATACAGAAATTAGCCGAGTGTGGTGAAGTCCCAGCTACTTGGGAGGCTGAGGCAGGAGAATCACTTGAACCCTTGAGGTGGAGGTTCCAGTGAGCCGAGATAGTGCCAGCCTGGGCGACAGAGCGAGACTCCTCCTCAAAAAAAAAAAAAATAATAATAATAATAATAAAATAAAAGAATGTACTATTATTTCAGGCTACTGTCTCTTGAGGAGGAG